CATCATCATCATTATCATCAAAATAACCACCATGATATTCACGCTTAAGATTTTGCTGCTTCAATTTTTCAAGATCAGACTTCAAGGATTCTGCATAAACATCAGTGACCTGGTCGTATAACAACTTATAATCTGGGTCACGCTTGTACCTCTCAATAGCTTTCTTGGCCATGGCGAGGGTCTTCTTCTCACTCCCCCTTCTCCCGTCTTGGTCTTCTAGGAGACGGTACAGAATCTCCGGAAGTTCAAACAATTTTCCTATCGACTTGGCAAATGTTGCGTAGCACAATAGGGTCTTGGGGTGGTTGTGGTGGAGCCAGTACGCTGCCGTGTAAAACCCTTCCCAGTAATGTCTGCCGTGCACTAGGTGAGCAATGAGCTTGAGGGTGGTCAAGGGATCATGGGACCAGGCCAGCGGCAGCAGTTGCTTCAGATATGCACACGAAGCGTCCACCTCGGCCTCTCTCTCTAAGTTTTTCTTGTTTTCGGATTTGTACTCGTATGGTTCGACAACGTTGTAAAAGAGATCATGGCAGCTGAAGGTGCGACGGGTGAATCCTTGTTCGGAATCTGATCACTGGTAGTACTCAAGCCCCCCGGCCCCCCTCATTCGTATCGAATTTGGGGGTCTCATGTTGATTCTTGTCATCGCTGTGGCTCTCTCGTTCTTGAAATTCGCAACCGTTAACGGTCGTTGGAGCTGCGGAGGAGGAGCAAGAGTTGTATAACTCGTAGCTGCCATTGCCAATGCCATGGATCTTGCTCTTGTGAGATGCAGGATGTGGTTGACTGACAGGATTTTCTCCATTTTCCTGATAACAACGAATGGGCATCTTTTTCGTTTTTAATATAGAACTAAATACTTGGACGTCAAGCAATTGCCTGCTCCGTTTAAATTCCTCATTATCTTTTATTTTTAGGAAAACTAATGAAAATAACTTCAAATCTTTATATTTTAATAAAAAATCATACACTAGATTTTATTTAATGATAAGGATAAAAAATAAAAATAAAAATAAATAAAGAACTTAAAAAAACTCAGGTCATCGTCAATAAAAATAAAAAACCAACTGGAAAGGTTTCTGCATCTTTCCTTTTAGTCTCACACTTGGGAAGTGAAGAGATGAAAGAAAGAGTTTACCTGTATTCCACACCCCCCCCCCCGCGACGGCTCTCTGTGACATCCCTTGCCCTTCCCCACTTCCCCCCTCTCTGTAACTCCCTCCCTTCCCTTCCCCGCCCCCCACCCCCGTAATTCCAACCCTCCTCCGTAAACCCCATCACAATCCCCTCTCCCACACTTCATCGTCAGCTCCATCCACAAAAGCACCATCTTCTCTGTCTCCTCGCCTCCTTCCATGACAAAGCCTAGCAAACCTATACGCTAATTGTAATTTCCTAACCTTCAAATCAAACCCAGTTTCCTCTATGCCTCATTTTGTGGAAAGCCATAGCTTGATGGAACAAGGTTGCATAAGGGAAGGTTTGCCAATAATAGCAGGGAACAATATCAAATCAAATCAAGTCCATTAACTGCCTTTTTCAATACAAAGTGAATTGTTTGAGAAAATTGCAAAATCTGATTAATCCATGGTATTGCAGGTTCTAGATGGTTGCTAAATCTGACTGTATTTTCATAAATAGTGTAGTAAGTTTCATAAACAGTGTCGTAAGTTTTCATAAACAGTGTCGTAAGTTTCATAAATAGTGTCGTAAGTTTCATAAACAGTGTAGAAAGTTTCATAAATAGTTTGTGTGCGTGTCAGAAATTTTTTTTTTAAATATTAAAATTATGTCTTTTTCATTAAAATTTAAGCTCTTTTGTCCTTTTGATTAAAATTTAAGGGTTTTTCATTAAATTTTAAGTCTTTTTAATTAAATAAAGTTATATCATGGTTTTTTTATTAAAATAAACTTTGCCCAATCTCTTTTCATAAAAATCCCCTTTATTTTTTGAATAATATAAAAAAGATAAGTATTTCCGTAATGTTGAAAATAAAGTAGAGAGTAAGAGAAACCAAGATAGAATAAAGAGAAACGAAAGAGGGTTTTGAGGAGAAATTAGTGTATATTTCCTTATCATTAGAAAATGCTTCATGGTTTAATCGTAACAATTTAAAATAAGAGGGAAGAGAGTTTAGGAGAGACTCCATCACTGGAGAAGAGATTAATAACAATGGCAACACAATTTCACCAAAAGAACTCCATGGTTTAGCAGACTTTATCCTACAATTTCACCAAAAAAACTCCATGTTGTAGCAGACTTTCTCCTACAATTTCACTTCACATCTTCACCACTCAACCGTCATCCACCGCCATGACTGCCGTCGGCTGCACCCCTTTCCCCTCTAGCTTCGTGGTCACACGATAAATAACGATAGCGACACAACGTTGATGCGAATATATTTCCGCTGCTCCTTGGGGGGCTTTTTTTTCAAGATATTTGCTCTTAGATGCAAATTTTATTGCCCTTACTACTAGCGTTTCTTGCATTACTTTTTACATTCTACACATCTCTTATTGATTTACATCATTTGATTCTCTTTAATTCATTTGGTCCGACAATTAATACGTAAAAAAGTGAGTGTATGCGGATACCACCGCCATATTCGTTAAAGAAAAATGCTAGTAAACATTTGCACTAACATTTACACTTCAACCTTTTGACTCCTTCACATGACATGTATCATTTTTTTTTGCAATCATATGTTCTGTTTTTCATCATCAATATCATGCAGGAACCTACTCCCCATCGACGGCTCGTGCAATTTAGCTAAAAGGAAAGCCAATGATTCATAAATACCAACACTATGGACCAACCCTCTATCTTTCGCCGTACTACTCCCTATGTGAGCAGGTATCTGGACCTATAAAGTTGAAAGTCATATATGTATCAAAATTAGGTGCAATGCGCAGTGAAGGGGCTGTCTTCCCCATTGCTATGCAGAGGAGTAAAATATGTAGGTGTGTGTTTACTTTTTTGGTAATGCCATCATGACATGTCAATACGTTTTCTGAATGGTTAATATGGCCTCGTTTGAAAGCAGAGCCGGAGTTCGAAATCAGTCTCATGAAGAATTTTTATTGGCATGAAAAATTTAGGGGTCTGCTAACCACAAATCTAATTTGTACTTCTCATACACCTATAAATTTTCGAACCCAAGGCCTGTGGATCTTTCAAACTGCACTTACCAATACACTGCAAGCTATTTATTGAAAACATTAGCAAACAATATATATATCAAATTTCAGGATGAGCCTAGGCCTTTTCTAGCTTCCGTGTGGCTCCGTCACTATTTGAAAGTGTTTTAAAATGACTGAAAGTCCTTTTTTTTTTTTGGTAAAATTGATTTTGGATTCCAAAACACTTTAAGCGTTTTCTGAAATGTACTTTTTGCAGAAAGCACTTAAAGTGCTTTTGTAAGATTCACTTGAATTTTTATTAAGGATTTGTTTGAAAAACATTTTCACAAAAAACGTTTTCAATCATTTTATAATCACTTTCAAACGAGCTCTATATATATTCTTTTCTACAAGTACAGTAGTACTCTCTAGAGGTTATAACTTAGGACCCTTAAACAAGATCTAGTGATTCTCATTTTATGTAACTCAAAACAACAAATATCAGAAACTTTTTGGTTGTTTAGAACATGTAGCGAGAATTTTTTAACAAACAACTAGAGAACGAAAACGAAGTTAGCAAGTTAGTCTTGAGTAGAAACGCCTTCGACTTTGAGTCGTACCCATGTTTGTGTAAAAACTGTGTCAACATGTTTAACTCAAGTAGTAAAGTTGTGACATTTGAAAATGCCTTCAATCCTATACCTAAGTGAAATAATTACATTTGATATTTTAAATTGGTGATTCTTTGAAATTCAAATTTCAATCATAATTTTAAGATAACTTATTAAATTCCTTTTAAAAATTTGAGGAGTATTCAATCAGAATTTTAAGTGATTTTTTAAAGGTTTTTTTTTTATCCAAAATGGTTCCTAAGATTTGAAATTAATATAAGTGGTTCCTGAGTTTGTCTACTATCAATCTTTTGGTCATTTTAAGAAAAATTCAGTTAAATAAGGACTACAAAGATAAAAATACCCTCAAATTAATATAAAAAAAAGGGCCAAAATGATTGACAAAAATATAGGGTATTTGTGTCATTTTATTCTTATTTAATGGAGATTTTTCACAGAAGGGCCAAAATGCTTTGTACAAACTCAAGGACAGTTATATCGATTTCAAATCTCATGGACTAAAGTAAAAAGTTATGCCAATTTTAAGAACCATTTTGACTAAAAAGCCTTCTCTGAAATGAACGTGTATTCAATTAGGATTTTAAGATAGCTTATTAAAATCTTTATAAATTCGGGTGTATTTAATTAGAATTTAAAAAAAAAATTATACATCCATATGTATTCAACCTAAAAATTTACTTTAAAGAATTTTAAAAAGTTGACGAATTTGAGGGACTCAGAGAGATTTCATTGTGTATTAGGTATTCATAAATTATACCTCTTTCTATGAGATTCCATTGTGAATCCTTTAAAATTTCTCAAAATCTTAATCAAATAACCCTAATATTAGTATCACATTGGGAACACATGCAATCAATTATTTTCATATACAGGCATGTCCAAAACTTGGTGCAAAATTTCCTATTTTTGTTCCTCAAATTCAACAGGGGCCATGTTACATAAAAGTTTCAAATACTTTTATATTTGTAGTATTAAAAAATCACCTCAATTTACTGTATACTCACAGACTCTCAAATAATTCAAACTTTGCTGACTTTTCCTCCATTTTCCCGGGAAACAAACGGGCCAAAATGGAAAAACACGCGCCACTCGTGCGCGTGGGAAATATCCAAAGGATACCCATCGAAATCTACCGCTAGATACAGCTTTTTCCCGGGACCAAACTAACTAAAACCGCCTAGTCCGAAATTACCAAAAAACCCCTTTCATTGTCTCTCTCTTTCTCTCTCCTCTCTCTGCACAATTGCACATTAACTCTGCAACAAGCAACCGAAATTTTCTGACCAAATTTATGTCTGTCCTCTCCTCACTGTCCACGTCGGCACCTTCCTCACAAGCAAAATGGCACTCCCTAACCTTACCGCCCCTCGCATTCACCGCATTTACAACTCTGCCACTGACCTCCCCTCTACCGCCTTCCCCTACCTATTGCTGCTCCTCCACGGAGCTCAACCACCGAGACCCCCCTCTGTTTTTAGGGTTTAGGGTTTTATTCTATTCCGACTTTTGCGCTTGCCCATTTGAAAAATTTCCCAAATTTCGAAGCGGGTGAAGATTAATTTCTAATTCGGAGGTTTGGGTTCGCTCAAACTTTGTCCTTTTTTGTTTGCCTTCGAATATTTTTATTGTATTTTTTGTTTAGATTTTGAATTTTTAGATTCTCTCTTTGACTTTTTTCTCTCTCTACGTCTCTCTCTCTCTCTCTCTAAACTGTGTAGTGGTGAGCTGGAATGGATGATGGTGTTGTGGACTAATGGGAATGGGATTGCAGGTTTTGGTGGGACGGCCAACGGAGTAGTCAGCAGTGAGTTTTTGATGCTTTTTCTTGGGAATGGCTTTCTGGGGTTTTGGTTTTGGTATCCAGAGGTAGGAAGAAAGTGGCTTTTCTGAATTTCATGGTGTTATTCTGTAGCAAAAAGGTGCTGCATTGTTCTGTATTTCGGTAAAAATGCTCAAGTTTTGAACTTTATTCTCTAATATGGCAATGCTGATTGATATATATGTGTGTGTGTGTATGTTCTGTTTCCAGTTTTGTGGTTTATTGTTCTCTGCGAAATCAAGGCTACCGCGATTCTTTACCGGTTTTGTTTATTCGAGTTTTTTCTGGTGTCTTTTTTAAAGTGTGTATTGTTGGCTTGCCTCTCTCAGGTTGGGAATGCAGCTTCTTTTGGGTGCTGAAATTTGAGTTTGGCGGGTGAATTTTGGAATTTCTTTTGAGTTATTGTGTTTGATTGGGAAAAAGATGGATGGGAGGCGACATTCTGTTGATATTCCTATCTCGAAAACTCTTGTGCAACTGAGGAGGGTGAGGTCTTTAAGGGATCCTGATACTAATTCTATGAGCAAGTACTCTGCTTTGGTTGAGAATGTGAACTGGGAAACGAATTCGAATAATGACATTTCTGTGCAGTTCATGAATAGTTTCCAAGGTGGCTCTGACAAACATCGTTCTTTTAGATCAAAGAATCCGGGTCTGTATGGACTAGGAGGGGATTGCATAGATGATTTTGAATTAGATTGTGCTTTAGGAAAATCTAGGTTTATCTTGCATGAGAATTCAGAGTGGATTGGAAGTACAGGGAGTCGTCTGGTTAGGAGCAAACAAGCTGAAGAATTTGATTTTTCAGGATCAGATAAGGAAGATGTGTATGGAAATAAATCCCTCAGTGATAGACACTGCGGCAGTCAAATGGATAAAGGATTGGCCTTGACATGCGTCAACCCTTTGGAGGATGGGGATTATGAAGCAGCTGGTAGATCATTGCATTTAGAAAGAACAGATCAGATTGCATCAAAGAGACAATCACAACGCAAAAATAATGTAAATTCGTTCAGGGAAGTTGGTAATTTTCGTAAAGTTTGCAGTCCATGCCGCTCAGCAAGTGATTCTCTTTCAAGCCATAGTGCATCTTTATTTGTAAATGAAGAGGCCGATGCCATTGATCACAACCGTCCTAGTTGTGAGGTCAACTGCTGCTGGTCAAGAACCCCTCGATTCAGAGGAGCTAACCTCCCTTTCAACGTAGATGAGTTTCCTTTGTTATACAAGAATGCAGATGAGAGTGCGCTTTATGAACAGAAGAGCTTGAAACACATTGGCAATGAAAGGAGTCCGTATCCTAGGAGTCTGAGTCAGAAATTCAGGCCAAAATCTTTTAATGAATTGGTGGGACAAAATGTAGTAGCGAGGTCTCTTTTGGGAGCTATCTCTAGAGGAAGAATAGCCTCGTTCTATCTATTTCATGGCCCTCGTGGTACAGGAAAGACATCTGCCGCAAGGATTTTTGCTGCTGCGCTAAATTGCCTTTCGCATGAGGAGCATAGGCCATGTGGTCTCTGCTGTGAATGTGTTTTGTACTTTTCTGGAAGGAGTGGGGACATCAAGGAAGTTGATTCTGTGAGAATCAATCGAAGAGACAGGGTTAGATCTCTTATTAAGAATGCAGCTATTCCTCCACTTTCATCACGGTTTAAGGTTTTGATTATTGATGAGTGCCACCTGATGCATGGGGAAACATGGGCAACGGTTTTGAATAGCATAGATAACCTTTCTCAACATGTTGTCTTCGTGATGATCACTCCAGACGTCAATGAGCTTCCCCGAAGTGCAGTTTCACGGTCTCAAAGATTTCACTTTCCAAAGGTTAAGGACGCTGATATTGCAAGCAGATTAGGGAGAATCTGTGTTAAAGAGGGTCTTGAATTTGATCAGGGTGCTGTTGACTTTGTTGCTTCCAAATCGAATGGTTCACTTAGGGATGCAGAGATGGTGCTTGATCAACTAAGTTTACTTGGCAAAAAGGTCACAATGGCCCTGGCATACGAGCTTGTGAGTGCTTGGCAGTCTATTTTTATTCATTTATTTACTTTATATATATCGCATTCTATTTATCCAGTATTTACAGGAAAATTTCCCTGTTATTGTAATGCAGATTGGAGTCATCTCGGATGATGAATTACTGGGTTTGCTAGATATGGCATTGTCATCCGACACTTCTAATACGGTAATAAAAGCCAGGGAGTTGATGAGATCTCGGGTTGATCCTATGCAACTGATATCACAGTTGGCAAATCTTGTTATGGACATTCTTGCTGGTAAATGTCAGGACAATGTTTCTGAAGTCCGAAAAAAGTTCTGTAGCAGGCACACCTGTAAGTTGTTTAAGATTGCGCTTGTAATATTGTCACTTACTCCCCGAAAGCTCCCTACACAATTTATACAGGAAATGCAAGTTCTTTGAGCATGCTTTCTTAGACCCTAAGTTTTGTTTGATTTTGGTCATGACTCATGAGTAATGGTCAAGGAAATTAATTATTAATGGTTTTCAAGCAGTCCAACAATTGTTTTGCTGCATTATTAATGTTTGTTGATTAATCGTCGTGCCTTCTGCTGTTAATTACTCTCTGTCATCTCATGATTATATGCTTATACTAAGGTGCTGTTCCCTCAATTTTCTTCCTCGCAGCTGAAGCGGACTTGCAGAAACTGACTTTTGCATTGAGAATATTCTCCGAAACTGAGAAGCAATTAAGGGTGTCCAAAAATCAAACAACATGGCTTACTGCAGCTCTGCTGCAGCTAAGCTCTGTGGAGTCTTCCTCCTCGGATGGAAATGGTACAAAATTGTGTTTCAGAAGTACGCAAGACATTAGCTTGACTGACAAATATCTTCCCTTTAATTCCGTTCGTGAAAGGCTTTTCTTTTTCCATAAACCCTAGTTAGTATGGCTGAACTTTCATATATTTTGCTATTATTCTGATGGTACATCATCCACAGCGGACAGCTTCAAGAATCTTGCCACTTGTTCATGCAAGTTAAATACACCAGACAAGTTGCGCATGCAGAAGGATAGTGATGGAAAGTTGGAAGCCGTATGGAAGAGAGCTACAGATTTATGCCTATCCAATTCACTCAAGAATTTTCTGAAGAAACAAGGAAAATTGTCTTCCTTGCTTCTTGGTCAAGGTACATTCGTCTAGTAATATCTAGTAAATTATCCTTGATCTTCAAATTCTGGTACAAACCACATGAAACATATAAAAAAACCAGAGGAAGATGGAAATCAAGATCATCTCAAATCATCAACTTTATCTTCGTAGTTTGGCTTGTTATATGACATTTATGTACGTGCAATTGTTCTCACCTCTAATGCTTAATTGTAGGTTTAGCAATAGCTGAGTTGGAATTCTGCCATCCTGATTATGTATCAAAGGCTGAGAAGTCGTGGAAGATCATTGCAAATTCACTTCAATCTATATGTGGTTGCAATGTGGAGATCAGGATCAATCTTGTACCTTGTGCTTCTGATTCCAAGTATGCGAAAGTGAAGAAGTCATCTTTGAGGTTGTTCAGCTGTTCCCGCAGAATGCAGCAGAAGTCACAGTCATCTACCAAACGTGGAACTGATTCAGACTATTCTGAGTATACATCTGAAAAGCCCATGTTAAGTGACCAACCGACTTTACCTTGCTCCTCTGAGTGTTCTTATAAAATGCCAAATAACTGCAGTGACAGAATGGTGGTGGTAAGTACTTTGAGAAATAGCGAAGGAAATATACTCAGCACAAGGACTGCCTCATCCCACAGATCATTTGAAGATGATATGTCAAAGATACCTGGGGTAGTGGTTGATTCTTCGAAGGAAGAGGGAAGCAACCATGAATTCCAGGTTTTATCTTTTGAAGAACCTGAACATCAACCAAATTGTTTTCCTAGAACTCTGAGGCTTCAAAAGAAGTTCCGTTCGTCAAATGCTTCTCAGACGACCTGTTGCACCAAACAACATAACAAGACTGCATCATATAGCCTAAGCAAGACATCTTTTGGTACATGTCTCGTGGGAAATGATTCATATGTTTTCTGCAGCGGTGCTTGTAATAACACTGACAGCTGTATAAACGAGAATGTGTAAGTGTTGCTGTAGTCTCCTTTCCATATGTTGGTGCCCTTAAACTTTGGGTTTGAGATTCTTCTTGTCTAAACTGCAGACTGAAGAAGAATTCAGCCATGCTCTGTTGGAGAACCCCATGCTTCACTCGGGAAAGGTATTAGTTAAAAACTACAGGACTGTACTAATCGTATGTTGAAAATTTTAAATTGATTTTTCGTTGAAGTTTTAGGACCAAAAGCAAGGGACAAGATGTTCTTTCACTGCATACTTAACGAGATAAGGTCTGCCTAATTCAAGCGTGTTAAATCTGCAGGCCTTACAGTTGAGACATAAGCGACAACATTTGAACCGAGGGTGTTGGATTCTTCCCTGCGCAACTGCTAAGTAGTTCTACAAAGGAGGAGCACATGAGAAAATAACCATAATTTATCATGACAGTTGCAGAGGAGCTCGAAAGACTTCATATATCACATATTTCTTTTTGTAGGATTATATTTTGCAATCTGCAGCGGTTGTCATTGATGTTATAGATATTTTCTGGACCCGGATTCAGGGTTTTACATAGAGTATCTAGCAAGAACTGTTTCTTCTCCGATCTAGTAAGTGTTTCTTGTTTGGTTTCGTACATGCCTTGCTTACGAAAACAGTACTGTACAACCGGTGTGTACCCTACTAACTCTCGGTCTAGTGATATTTCTGCTTCCAATGCAATGGAACATTCATTACAACGCCTTCTCGCTATATACATTGTTAAATCAAGGTATCGACCCCCTTTTCTATTGAAATGAGAAAATACAAGCATCGACGGAATGGTAAGGTGCATTTATTTAAGGGTTCTTTAGATATAGACCCTTGCAACTCTTATTCCCTAGATAAAAACCCACTTAATTCTAAACATCCAAATAAAACCTAAATTTGAAAAAGATTACCAAGTAAAAAAGTAATTGACCTATTATTACAAAATATTTACAACTTGTGCCACAATATTCAAATCAAATTAATAAATGTTATTTCTCACCTTAATTATAATGAACAAATAATTATTGCACATACTATTACCCCTAACATATATATATATATATAGAGAGAGAGAGAGACACACACACACACACACACACATACATCAGAAGTATATAGTACTACTATAAGTTCAATATATATATAATTTACCAATATGTACTACTATACGTCTTACCTATATATGTAAATTTATGATTAGCAAATAATATATATTTTGTAGGTAAATTAATAATGAATCAAATAACATTCTTTTATTTTGTAGGTAACTTATTGTTCATATATTATTACATGTTGATGCACAAAATCAGTGAGAACTTTGGTACAACAGAAAGTGTTAAGTTTGTGACCTTCGCTAGATTGCTCCGGTCACTAGTGTGGATAAATATGTAAATGGATAGGGTCAGGGAAGCAAACACAAGATGTACGTGGTTCACCCAGATTGGCTACGTCCACGGAGTAGAGGAGTTCTCATTAATTGTGAAGGGTTTACACAAGTACATAGGTTCAAGCTCTCCTTTAGTGAGTACTAGTGAATGATTTAGTACAAATGACATTAGGAAATATTGTGAGAGAATGATCTCTATTTATAGAAGAGAGTTTCTAGTTTCATTCTGACATTGACACGTGTCGTGTTGTGATTGGCTTCTGATGTTGACATGTGTCACGTTATGATTGGCTTTTGATATCGACACGTGTCGCGCTGTGATTGGCCTTCTGGTTTTAGGGAAACTCTTCTGGGTTCTTGACGGTATAACGTTGACCGGTGCTCAATAGTTTCGAGATTGGTCAAGTATGGTACAAACACTGCTCCCTTAAGTTCCCGAGTGAGGGAAGCTCCTCGGTTGGGGACTTGCAAGATCCAAGCCATTGAGTAATCACGAAACTTCTAAGTACCAAAGTGTGATATCATTTTCACTTGCCTTATCTGTCTCATACGTAGATGTGGCATCTTCTCTGGAAGTACTTTTCCTCCATCCAGGGGTGGTATCTTTAACTGATGAAGATGCACAAGGTAATGTATCAATTTCACTTGAAGCTTACTTGTAGTTTCGGGCTTGGTCAAGTGCGATACAAAGTGGTACAACTAACCTTCGTACCACCAACCAAGTGATGAAAGCAACTCACCATTCATTCCACCTACCAGAAGACGAGTGGTACAACTTGTACATGTGAACTTCTAGCATTCGCAAATAATAAAAAACCCTTAAGCTTGACAACTCAACTAAGGGAGCACTTATGCCCAACAAGAATTATAGTCACCAATAAAGTCTTATTGCAAGCCAACAAAAACTTCAGTGCATGGCATACGAAGATTAAGTTATTCAGCCCTCTTGCATCTGCTTCAAACATTTCCCCTTTGTAACAATGCAAACACTACAACTTGTAGAAAGCTTTACATACTCTTGATCAAGACAGTGTGAAGCAAAACCAATTTATGGTGCCAACAAGAGCTTCATCAATGGAGGGCAACCACAATTCTCAAAAGCTTCACACACTCTTGATCAAGACAGTGTGAAGCAAAACCAATTTATGGTGCCAACAAGAGCTTCATCAAAGAAGTTCAACCACAATTCTTAAAAGCTTCACACACTCTTAATCAAGACAGTGTGAAGCAAAACCACAACACGCCTTGATTCTAGGATCGGGGTGTGTCAGCCAGGAACCTTCTCACTCCTAAAAATAACAGACTACTTTCCAAACGGTCTGATGAGTTGGCTATTAAGGATTTTCTGGCTCTCAGTGTTCAGTGTGCAGGTTCTATGTCTAATATGGCCTAACGCCTATTTGCTCGAACCCGCCAAGTTGAATCATTGGCGGCTGAAGTGATAAGTCTCAAACAGGAGATCAGAGGGCTCAAGCATGAGAATAAACAATTGCACAGGCTCGCACATGACCATGCTACAAACATGAAGAGGAAGCTCGACCAGCTGCAGGAATTTGATGGTCAGATTTTACTTGATCATCAGAGGTTTGTGGGTTTGTTCCAAAGGCATTGCCTTCGTCTTCTGGGGCTGTACCGCGTAATGAAGCTCCAAATGATCAACCTTCAGTGCCTCCTCCTTCTGGGGTTCTGCCTAGTACTGAGGCTCCGAATAATCATCCTCTGGTGCCTCCTCTTTTTGGGGCTCTGCCGACTGCTGAGACTTCTCCTGAGTAACCTTTGTGAAAGCTCCCTCTTGTTTGTTTATTTTGATTCATGTATATGTACATATTTGTAACTTATCGGAGATATCAATAAACAAGCTTTTCTTCATTTCAATGTATTGTATTAAATACACCAAGGCCTTCTTCACTACGTTGTTTGAATTTTTCCTTTTGTTGAAACTTGTATGTTGAAGCTTTGTGAGTGAAGCATGTAGGTTGAGGTAGTGCTCCCTTAATTTCCCGAGTGAGGAAAACTTCTCGTTTGGAGACTTGAAAAATCCAAGTCACTGAGTGGTCGTCAGACTTCCGAATATCAAGATGCAGTAGCATATAGTAGGAGTCCCTCAAGTCTCCGGTCGAGGGAGTTGATAAATGAGGCATTTCCTTTCTAAGTGGTAGCCCAAAACTCCTTCATATATATTTGTTATGAAAGTTGTTAGGCCCAAAGAAGATGAGGCCTAGGCAATTTTTATTTATTTTTTCGAATTTTCAAATTTTTGAATTTTCGAATTTCTGAATTTCTGAATTTTCGAATTTTTGAAAAAAAAAATATATATATATATATTTTTAAAGCTTTGTAGGTGAAGCTTTAAGGTTGAAGCTTTGTTGGGCACCATGAATTGATTTTGCTTCACACTATCTTGATCAAGATAGTGTGAAGCTTTTGTAGGTGAAGCTTTTGTGTTGAAGCTTTGTAGGTGAAGCTTTTGTGGGTCAAGCTTTTGTGGGTCAAGTTTTTGTGGGTAAAGCTTTTGTAGGTCAAGCTTTTGTGGGTCAAGCTTTTGTGGGTCAAGCTTTTGTGGGACAAGCTTTTGTAGGTGAAGCTTTTGTGGGTGAAGCTTTTGTGTTGAAGCTTTTGTTTGGAGTTGAAGCTTTGTAGGTGAAGCTTTGGAGTTGAAACTTTGTAGGTGAAGCTTTGGAGTTGAAGCTTTTGTTGGGTACCATGAATTGATTTTGCTTCACACTATCTTGATCAAGATAGTGTGAAGCTTTTGAGAATTTGTAGTTGTCCTCCATTGATGAAGCTTTTGTTGGTGAAGCTTTGGAGTTGAAGTTTTGTAGGTGAAGCTTTGGAGTTGAAGCTTTGTAGGTGAAGCTTTGGAGTTGAAGCTTTTGTTGGGTACCATGAATTGATTTTGCTTCACACTATCTTGATCAAGATAGTGTGAAGCTTTTGAGAATTTGTAGTTGTCCTCCATTGATGAAGCTTTGTTGAATTTCCCTTTTCTTTTTTTTTTTGGGAAACTAGAAATTTGAAAATGTGGGAGAGACAACATATGCAAATTTTGCTTCCACACTGTTGAGCAAGAGATTGTGATGCAAGGCACACCTTATAGTAGTCAAAGGTTTGGATGAACCATATAAATTGAATTTGCTTCGAAGGTCTGAGAATTGTAGTTGCCATCCATTGGTGAAGTTTTTGTTGGCACCATAAATTGGTTTTGCTTCACACTGTCTTGATCAAGAGTGTGTGAAGCTTTTGAGAATTGTGGTTGAACTTCTTTGATGAAGCGCTGGCACCATAAATTGGTTTTGCTTCACACTGTCTTGATCAAGAGTGTGTGAAGCTTTTGAGAATTGTGGTTGCCCTTCATTGATGAAGCTCTTGTTGGCACCAGAAATTGGTTTTGCTTCACACTGTCTTGATCAAGAGTGTGTGAAGCTTTTGAGAATTGTGGTTGAACTTCTTTGATGAAGCTCTTGTTGGCACCATAAATTGGTTTTGCTTCACACTGTCTTGATCAAGAGCATGTGAAGCTTTTGAGAATTATGGTTGTCCTCCATTGATGAAGCTCTTGCTGGCACCATAAATTGGTTTTGCTTCACATTGTCTTGATCAAGAATATGTGATACTTTTGAGAATTGTGGTTGAACTCCTTTGATGAAGCTCTTGTTGGCACCATAAATTGGTTTTGCTTCACACTGTCTTGATCAAGAGTGTGTGAAGCTTTTGAGAATTGTGATTGCCCTCCATTGATAAAGCTCTTGTTGGCACCATAAATTGGTTTTGCTTCACACTGTCTTGTCTTGATCAAGAGTGTGTAAAGCTTTCTACAAGTTGTAGTGTTTGCATTGTTACAAAGGGGAAATGTTTGAAGCAGATGCAAGAGGGCTGAATAACTTAATCTTCGTATGCTATGCACTGAATTTTTTGTTGGCTTGCAATAAGACTTTATTGGTGACTATAACTCTTGTTGGGCATAAGTGCTCCCTTAGTTGAGTTGTCAAGCTTAAGGGTTTTTTATTATTTGTGAATGCTAGAAGTTCACATGTACAAGTTGTACCACTCGTCTTCTGGTAGGTGGAATGAATGGTGAGTTGTTTTCATCACTTGGTTGGTGGTACGAAGGTGAGTTGTACCACTTTGTATCGCACTTGACCAAGCCCGAAACTACAAGTAAGCTTCAAATGAAATTGATACATTACCTTGTGCATCTTCATCAGTTAAAGATACCACCCCTGGATGGAGGAAAAGTATTTCCAGAGAAGATGCCACATCTACGTATGAGACAGATAAGGCAAGTGAAAATGATACCACACTTTGGTACTTAGAAGTTTCATG